ACATGGAATAAAGAAAATAGCAAGGCTTAAGGAGCAGCTTTTCCACAACCAAATCATTCCTGTATTCATAAAAGGGTAAATAAAAGGAGAATTTTTTAAATGAGTGGGAGTAGAAATAAAGAACTTTGGAATAAGCTCAATACAAGCTTGCATAAGCCTGGAGGCTCCTGAAGATTTAAGTTCTTCAGAAAATTTTAGGATCAGAGCCTCTTTGATAAGGTTTTTAAGAAGAGAAAAACTAGAGTAGGAGAGTCAACAGCCAAGCTGTTTTCTTCTTGCCTTAAAGAGATTTTGCTATTTACTTGGTTTTTGAGATGCATATTTAATACTGCAAAATCTGTACATTTGGGTAGTCCAGCAAAAAGATATAAGCCTAGGAAAATAGGGTGATTGATGTTAAACGGTACAATTTTAGAGAAATGATTATAATATGGGGCTATGAAAAATCTAATGGGCAGAACGGTTTCTGGGGTGAAAAAGAAATAGATTCTTCTATCACTGCTTTGAACTAGGCCAATTAAAATGCACTGAGCTGAAAATGAGAAGGACGGGAAAAACAGATATTTGCATGGAAGCAAGAACAGAACAAAGTATTGAAATGTAAATCATTTTACAGAAATGACAAAAGTACAGGGGGATGTGGATGAAACTGAGAAAAAAGTTTATTTTGGACGCTTGTGAGCAAACTCATGAAACCAAATCCTTAGTTGCTGGAACAGGTGTTGAACAAAATAAAATCAGAAAGCATGTTTCTGTGAAAAGACTGCTAGCTTTATCACCAGTGTGGGCTATTAACCACTTATCATCCATTCTGTCCTTTGAAAGTAGAATGGAGATTTCCGTTCAAAGCTAGACCAAGATTCAAGGTTCTCGCTTCTAATGCATGAACACTTTTAAACGGTTAACCCTTTTGCTCCTTAATCCTTCCATTTCATGAGCTTTTAAAAATGGCATGTTTTTGGTCCTTAGCTCTCCAAGATCCCATATTGCAAAAAAAGCTCAAAATTATTGGCCCTACCTATACAGGGGGCTGTTGAAATATCATATGGCCTGGAGGTTGCTCATTCTGTATTAAGTTATCGCCATTGTTTAATTCTGGCTTACATTAAAATATTGTCCTTTGTAAATCATAGTTTATGTTTTAATGTAATGTGTGAATGTACTCCGTGATTAATCATTCTTAGTTCATTTTGAAATTGGGAACTCTAATCTAGTTACTTGAAGATCTTTCAATCATGTTTGATTACAATTCATTCCACTATACTTAAACTGGCACATAATGATGTCAGTTTTAATTAATGATTATTCTTTCATTCACTGTCCAAGTAACATTCTGGAAGATTGATTGGTGTTTTAAAAGACTTGACTTTTCCACTAGCCTTAGGTTAAACTGAGTACCATATTTCCTAATGCATAATGTGTCATGGACTCAATACTAGGAAAGTGGATAGGATCAAAGATGGCAATAGAAGAGAATACATGTAGTTGAGGCTTGAACTATGGAGTCCTTGTGCTCTCTGAGCTTGGTTGTTTGTTGGCTTGTTTCATTATGTAATTAGATAATCTTAGCAGTAGTGGGATTCAAATAATTTAACAACCGGTTCTCTGCCCTAATGATTTCTTCCAACAACCAGTTCACCAAACTGCTCCGAAAGTTAACAACCGGTTCTCCCGAAGTGGTGCGAACTGGCTAAATCCCACCACTGAATCTTAGGTAATCTCATTAGTGCTAGTGAGTGTAGGGTTTGCTCCCTGTTTATGTAGTCTGCCAGTGTTGGTAGAGGTATGGTTTTCTTCTTGGCAGTTCCTTGAGTAAAGTATTGTCTATCGATGAATTATTATTGATCTATTGATAATCTATTGATCTATTAATGACTGGTAGCACAGTGATTAAACTGCAGTATTGCAGGCAAACTCTGCCCACAGCCTGAAGCTTGATCAATATGGGGTTCAAACTTGACTCAGTTTTTCATTCTTCTGAGGTCAGTAAAATGAGGACCCAGATTGTTGGGGGCAATATGCAAATAATTCTTATTTGTAAACTGCCGAGAGAGTACTGTAAAACACCATAGGGCTGTAAATAAGCGTAAATGCCATTGCTAATGCTATTGCTAAAACTTGATGAGATGGTGCACAAAAAGTAACTCCGGCATTTGGAGTACCAATGGGAATGATGACTGGTTAAACAGATTTATTTTGAATACATGGTTTATGCATAAATCGGTTCTTACATATACATTCCAAGAAATTAATATAAATCTAAAAGCATGACTGATTTGTTATGATGAATGATTGTGGCTATTAGAGTCACGGAATTGTTACACGATGCTATAGAAATGTACAGAATTGTATAAATAAAAGTCGCTTGATGGGATGATCAAGTGAAAGAAACTGTGGATGAAGAAAAAAAGTACATAAATTGATTGCTGCAAAAAGGAGAAAAGGATAACATGCAAAATGTGCACATAGAGGAAAACATAGTTGCAAAAACTGTTGTCAAACAGAGCAAGGAAGGATTAAAAATTAAGAGAGAATATAGGAGAATTTTAATGAAAAAAAAATAGAAGGGGGCTAAACAACCGCTAGTAGTTGTACCCAACCTTTATGGCTTGACAGCCCGGGCAGGGAGAGGGGAACCGGCCCACTGCTCCATTTTGGTAAGTACCATAATTAGTATTACATGCTTTCACTTAGTGTTGACATTTCAGATATTTATATTTTTTGAAGCTGCTATCTGAAAAAAGATGGATTTTTGTACCTTACTTACAGATCAGCACTGGAAAATGGCTCAACTATTCAGTGATCTGCAGAATTAAATAATATAGCTATGGATGGCTTTAATTCCATTTACTGTAGAACTCTCTATATATGTCTGTGAATATATGCCCTATATGATTTTGTTTCTTTTTTTAGCTTTCTCTTTTCTTTTTATGTCATAATTTTGGATATTCATTTTGTTTTATATATTTAGTTAAAATGATTTAATTTAAAAAGCAGGAAAAAAGAAAAAAATAGTCTCTAAGCACAGAACAGAACATGGTAATATATCTAGGAATATCTGCAATATTTTTTTTAAAAAATAGTTATTTTCACTATACTAGGATATCCACATCCATATGGAGCTCCAGTTTGACTGTGTATAGTTATTATTACTGGAATTTTCTGAGATCTTTCAACAATTGGTGAAAATCTAGTCACATCTGGGAAAATAAAACAGTCACCAGAACATCTTAAAAGAAGCACATGTGTATCAGTAGTTCAGGGGCATGAGGAGTCTTCAAATTCTAGTGAGGCAGAAGTAATTTATGTAAAAATAGAAGAAGTTGGAGTCAAGGTGCACACTTGCCTTTTTCCACATATAGAAGGAATTAGTTAAAACACTGTCTGGACCTAAAAAAGGATTTATTTTGAGAACAAGGATCCTTTTGTCAGTTGAAGACTTCCTCAACTTTTCCCATAATATATGCCTAGAAATAGATTAGAAAGTTGCTCTTAAGCAAAAAAACAAAAAACAAACCAAAACCTCACAAGATTATGTTTTAGTCATCAGGAATTTTTTCACAAGGTGGAGCAAGTATATAATTTTATGTGTCTCCACAGAATTTACTAAAGTTAGGAGAAAGTATGGAAAATATTTAAATGCTGCTAGAAAGTTGATGAGTAGCAACTGGTTCATTTTAAGGGAAGAACATTTTAGAAAGAAAAATAGCTGGATGTAGTAGTAGTTTGTCCTGTTTGTACATGGAAGTAATAAATCAGGAGAAATACAAAAATAAGTTGAATGCAGTGGGAATGGGGTATTAAGAAAAAGATAACACAAAAATAGATTCTGAATGGATGTGGATTGAATACAAACATAACCAGCACAAAACAAATACTGTATATTGAGGTGATTTGGTCATAGAGAATGAATAAGAATCACATCATAAAACAAATCTATGAAGAAGTAAAAGGGTTGAAAGGAGGACAGAAAAAGTCATGATTCGATGATGAGTTGTTTTATCCAAAAAGCAGTGTATGATTCAATGCAGGGGTGAAATTCACTTACCTTCTCTACTGGTTTGCAAATGTGCGCGCGCTATGCTTGCGCTTGCTTCGTTCACACATGCCGTCATCCACGCATGCGCAGAGGCTGAAATCATTGCAAAAAAGGGTGGCCATGACATCTGCGCGGGTGGGCAGAGCCTCCCGCAGCCGCCGCTACCGGTTTGCCCAACCCGGATAGAACTGGCTGAATTTCACCTGATTCAATGTATATAGTGTATATAGTATATAGTGGAAGGAAGGTGTGTGCCAAGTTAGGAAAGTACAGATCTATAGTAAATAGTGTTTGTGTAAACCAGTTTTAGCTGTGTCTTCTTTTCCTTAATTTGCTTCAGAATTTTGTACTCCTTTTCTGAACTGCATCTAACATTGCTTACCCCCAAAATAACACAAAATAACATCACTTTGAGCCCATTTTCGAAAATAAACATTGATAAAGAACAGCACCCCTAGTGGAGTCATAAATTAGGCAATTGCGTGCTTGACATTAAGATTCTCCGTTTATCGACCATGTTTATTTAATTCACCCAATGTTACCTCTTTCCTAAAGGCCCCTTTACTAGCCAGGGCCGAGATGATCTTGGGTCACAATACGAGTGAAAATAATATATATTTTGTTTTCTCTTTTAAATGGGAGGATGAGGTGGGGGCGGGGGGAGAGAGAAAAGATCTAAACCAATGTTTCTTAAACTGGGCAAGTGTAAGACGCGTGGACTTCAACTCCCAGAATCCTTCAGAGCCAGCCATGTTGGCTAGGGAATCCTGGGAGCTGAAGTCCACATCTACACAGTTCCACATCTTCACAGTTGCACGATTTGACAATTTAAATCAGAGGTCTTCAAACTTGGCAGCTTTAAGACTTGTGGACTTCAACTCCCAGGATTCTCCAGCAGCATAGCTGGCTCTGAAGGATTCTGGGAGTTGAAGTCCACAAGTCTTAAAGCTGCCAAGTTTGAAGACCTCTGATTTAAAGGAATTCAGAAGTCGTTTCCGCTACTGGAAGTCTCCACTTCCCCGGGCTCATCTTTTGTATTCTCCGCCACACACCGGCCGCGCGGAGAACAAGGCCGGGCGCTGCGAGGGCGGGGCAACGGGAGCCTCCGTCGTTTCCTCCTGGCCGCGCCAAGGCCATGGTGCCGGTGCTTCCGCGGCTGTATCTGAGCGGCGCCGATCTTGGCCCGGCAGACGGTTCCGAGAAGCCAGCCGTCACGGCGCTGCTGCAGGTGGACTCGGAGCCTCCCGGAGCCGCTGCGCTTGCGGCCTTCGAGAGCACCCTGTTTGTGCAGGCGCTGGACCGGCCGCAGAGCGATGTGCTGAGTCGCCTGGACGAGTGCGTGGCTTTTCTTAGCCAAGTCCTGGAGGGCGGAGGAAGCGCCCTGGTGCGCTGGTGAGCCCCCGGCCTAAGGAGACTGCTTGGGAGGCGGGGTGGCTTGTGACCTGGGACTGACCGGCCAAAGCCCCCAGCCACGTTCTTGTTCTGCTAGCTTTGAGCAACGTTTCGGAGCAGAAACCAGGATAGCTAAATCCTTGATTATAGTGCAGCTATTAAGAAACAGCCTGGCCTTCTTGAAGGCGTAGAAGAAAATTTCTGCCCTCATTAGAGCATAATGCGTCAATCGGATTTTAAGGTTTTTCTTTTTTTAAATACGTAACGAGTTCAAATACTGCGTTTCTCCGTGGAGCGTTTATATATATAGCCGCAATTCGACAGAGGCCACGCTTTCCGCGCCTTCCCTAGGAAACCTCCCAAATGGTCTTTGTTACGTCATAATTAAAACCCCGCCCACTCCATTTGAGCTTTGGAGTTCACTGTGTATGAGCTCAGAATAGCTGCCGCCTTTGTATTCCTTTTACCCTGACGCTGAGTGCTTGAGATATTTGTAAGCCTAACCTAACTTAAAAGGTTGCACGGAGGTGAGGAGGGTTTAAAAATTCTGCAATGCACTCGCAGAGAATTGTTGCCGAGTGTGCAAAAGCTCCCAAGGTGTAATAAACCACTTTAAAATTCACAGTAATTGACCTCATATTTCATTCTCGTTAAAAAAAAAACGAGTCATATGATGGCTTATTGCGATTTGTGAACCCAGGCAATAGGATGGTTTTTAAATTGCTGGCATTCTTTCCTGAATTTTCATTTTTGCCTTCTCCTCTGTCAAGTCTTAGAGAAGCTGTAGTTAGCTTGTGGTAAGGTCCTTTTGTCAGTCACAGTTCTGAAAACATGCTTTAAAAAGTTCTGCCCAACACTGATTAATATAATTGCTGATCAATAAAATGTATTTGAATGTGGAATGTAGAATATAGATTTCCTTGATTAGTTTCTTTTTATTATCACTGATAGGTTGATGACAAATGCCAAATTGCCCCAATTTTCATAGGATTAAATGGTACACTGTTGTTTCTGTTACACTCTAAGGGGCTTATTTTTTGTTCAGAATGTACGAATAAACTATTGTTAGTGTAGAATTGCCATCATCCAAACATTACAGTAAAGACCAACCTGAATCTTCCTGTCATGTAATGTCAAAAATGTGCTAGGGGTGAAAAGTGGGTGATTTCATGATAATCAGGATACATAATAATTGTTTTGCATCCAAGCAGTCTAGCGGGAACTGGAGAAAGATTAGATTACCTGATTCTGTAGCATTATATTAATGCAGCTGTCAAAAATGCTATGAGGGATGTGTGCCCAGCCTTCTGCTTCCTGATCCTGAATAAAAATGCATTATGAAAAACAGCATAAAAACAGGAATGATATATTTTGTGGTATATGTAAGGGAAACAATACTTCACTACGTCTTCCTGTTCTTTTTTCCAGTCATGCTGGAGTTAGTCGAAGTGTTGCTATTGTGACTGCCTATTTAATGAAAACTAATCATCTTACTTTTCAAGAGGCCTATGCCTTTGTTCAAGCCATCAAACCTGATGCTAAGTATGATTTATTTTTTCTTTGGCAAAAGTATTTTCTCATGAAGGTTAAAATACACATTCTCTGATCTGTCAGTTTTCTTTTGATTTGTTCTAGGATGAATGAAGGCTTTGAGTGGCAACTGCAACTCTATGAAAAAATGGGTTGTAAGGTTGATGTTAGCAGTATTATTTATAAGCAGTATCGTTTGAAAAACATTACAGAGAACTGTCCTGGTAAGGCAAATAGAAATTACGATATATACACTCCATTACTTAGATGTTGTGCTATCTACATTAAACTGTACTTTTATTGCTATATTTTGATAGCTACGATCCTTTTAATATTGGCAGTAAGCAGAACTGTAATAGCCTTTCTCTTCAGTATGTTAATTATATTATAGATAGCTTATCTGATGAAACTTCAATCCTGAAAGGATATTTAACATGTGTTTACTGCTTCTATGAAACATCCCAATATCTGTAAGAAAACTAATAATGTGCAATATTAGCTATGTTGTATCTCTCATTTTTCTTGTTCCTACCTATCCTAGCAAAAAATAGCCTCTGACAAGTGCATTAAAAGAAATTATATAAAGGTTACTAGTGGCTCCTATATTATTTGTACATTTTTTTCCCTTCAGCTTTTTTGCTTTTGATGGCAGAGCCTGTTTAGTTCTCAACAGACATCGCTTTTATTGATTAACTAAACTTCTCTCATGTGTTGAGATACTCAAGGATTTGGGGGGATAGTTGAAGACATCCAGAGATACAACTCAGTATCTGAGAATTAATACACGGGATGCAAAAATGCATTTTGTGTTTGACTGAACTATAAATCAATAGTTATTTTTAAGCCCAATGATAGCATTTTTGTCACTAGTCTGTGACAAAAGTACTAATACTAGTCTGTCTTCTTCAGAAGAAATTCTTGATTTTTCTACCATCATGTTTTTCAACTAACACTTTCACATTGAGCTTCAATATTGTGGGCACTAGTAATAAGCCACCTAAAGACAGTCCTGTCCTCTGTCATCTTGAGCATTCTTACTGTCTAGGGTAAAATTTACCTTTTTCATTCTTGTCCTTAGAGGATAGCATTCTGTTTACATTCTGTTTGTTGCACGCAGAGTGTTTTGGCTCTCCATGTTTAATTTCTGCTATTCAAATACAAAATAAAAATGAAGAAATTTTGATATGTAATGTTTTAGACTTTAATTTGCATCTCTTTGATATGTATGTATAGATAGTCCTCGATTTATGTCCACAAATGAGACTGGAACTTTCATCGCTTAGCAAGAAAGTCATTAAGTTGTGTGCACTTTTATGACTTTTTGCCATGATTAAGTGTATCTTCAGTCATTAAATGAATCACATGGTCTTTAAGTGAATTCAGCTTCCCCCACTGACTTTGCTTGTCAGAAGCCAGTTGGGAAAGTTGCAAATGACCCTGGGACTCTGCACCCATCATAAATATGTGTTGGTTGCCAGGCACTTGCATTTTGATCACATGGCTATTGAGATACTGTGATGATCCCAAGTGCGAAGACCAATTGTAAGTCACTTTTTTCCATTACTGTCATAACTTCAAATAGTTGCTAAGCAAATGGTCTTAAATCAAGGACTACCTGAGTATTTGTGTACTCAGATTGGGCATGAATTAAGTAAAACTATGTTTGCCTTCTTCCTTTTTGTCAAGAGAGATGTGCAGGTTTATATAGTAATATGTCTATATATCAATTATTAGATTCTAAATCATGTATCTGTAAGTTATTCATAATTTGATACCAGTATTAAGTTATTCATACATAATACCTTTTACTATTAGGCTGCATAATAGACTAGTGAGAGGAAAATAATCTTCTGAAAAAGATTGTATAAGTTGTATAAACGGAAAAATAAAAATACTGATATATATATATATATATATTTTCTCAGGTTTTCGCGGGTGTTTGTATGTAGGTCTTTGGTTATTCGGGTCTTCTCCCACGTAAAATTGGAAGTGTCTTGGCGACGTTTCGACAAAGTCTCATTCGTCATCTTCAGGCTGGTGTTCTCGGCTTCATGCTTCCAGGAGCAATGTGTGTGAGCTGATTGGGTGGGAACTTGGCTGTGTTCTGATTGGGTGGAGGTGTGTTCTGATTGGTTAGGGGCTTGGCTGTGCTCTGATTGGATGGGTTGGTTGTGCTCTGATTGGCTGGGGGTGTGTTCTGTTTAGAGATAGAAAAACGCCCACACAGCATGAATAAACGAGACGATACCTCCCGCCTACCAGCCATTTGGAAACCCGCCCTTATTGACAAACGAGTCCCTAACACGACGAATGACACCAGACCCACACTCATGAGTGCCACACCTGATGTCACCATCACACATCCACGCAGAAAGCAGACTCAAACCCACACTGATAATGAGCCACGACCAAGGACCAGAAGCCAGACCGCAGCTGCATCATTAGCCACTTTAAACCCCTCCAATCCATACATGAAGCAGACTGACACCCACCATGAAGAGCTCGCACGGCCACAAACACGAAGCCAAACAACAACAACGCAGCTCACCAGCTCAAATCCCCCTGCAACTCAGACTAAGCTGAGCACAACCAAGCCCCCACCCAAACAGAACACACCCCCATCCAATCAGAGCACAACCAACCCCCCATCCAATCAGAGCACAGCCAAGCCCCTAACCAATCAGAACACACCTCCACCCAATCAGAACACAGCCAAGTTCCCACCCAATCAGCTCACACCCCCATTAGCAGTTAAAAGGAAGAGACAGCTGCGATCTCACATTGCTCCTGGAAGCACGAAGCCGAGAACACCAGCCTGAAGATGACGAATGAGACTTGGTCGAAACGTCGCCAAGACACTTCCAATTTTACGTGGGAGAAGACCTGAATAACCAAAGACCTACATACATACATACATACATACATACATACGTACGTACGTACGTACATACATACATACATACATACATACATACATACATACATATATATATATATATATATATATATATATATATATAAAATTTGATTTATATGCCGCCCTTCTCCAGAGACTCAGGGCGGCTTACAATGTGTTAGCAATAGCCTTCATACTTTTCTGTATTTATACTTATATTTATAAGTCAGCTTATTGCCCCCACAAACTGGGTCCTCAATTTACCTACCTTAGAAAGGATGGAAGGCTGAGTCAACCTTGAGCCTGGTGAGATTCGAACTTACAGTAATTGCAGACAGCTGGTGTTAATCACAATGCTATCAGTCTGCTGAGCCACCAGGCTTGAAAATAATATTGAAAATAATAAAAATATTTTATATACCTTTCCATATTTTTATGTTGAATGTTATGTGTTATGCAATGTTACAAAAGAACCGAACTAATCAGATTCACTGCATTTTTATCACCTTTATTTCCATGAGAAAAGAACGAATGATTAGGCATTAAAATTTTGAGAATTCTAAACTGGTTGGAATTGAAGCAAAATTTATCCAGAAAGGCAAATTCTTAAATTATTGCCAGGAATTGTTGGTCTTGTCAATGGAATAGTCATTGCCTCTAGGACAACCTAAAGCTTATTGTACTGTGGCAAAATATCTTCTCTTTAATTCATTTGTAATTTTTTCGTACAAATTCAAAATGTTTTGTCACCTTTTCTTGAATCTAATATAAGTATTACAGTGTTGCTCCTGTTTCTAATTTTTTTTACATGGGCAAACATGACTAATTACATTTTTATGTGATTTTTTTCTCCCAGCATTCTCATAAAATTGGTATCTGAATATTGAATTGGAAATGTTATAGTTACCCTGGTGGACTTATTTTAATAAAGGCTAAAATCTTACTTGGGAGATTTTAGCTATATTAGTTCTTTTAAAGCCCTCTTGGGATAATTTGTTGCAGCTTTAAACCATCCTTTTAAGATGTGTTTTATTGTATGCTTCTGTGGGAATATTGCTATTAGGACTACATGTAAAATACCTGCAATAAAGAAGTGCTCTAAACTTTCAGAGTAGCTTCATTATAAGTATATAAACTCCTTATTGTTTCTGGTTTTCAGAGACAGAAGGTTTGCCTGGTCATGTCTTCGCAATTGATCCAAACACAATACATCAAATCCCAAATCATGACATTTTTTACAGGTGCAGGAAATGCAGGTACGTGGCTCTAGAGGAGCATTTATTGAATAGTATCTTATGAGGTCAGTATATAGCAATTTTCGGAGCACTAACACTTTTGCAACCAAGGGGCTAACTCTAAATGCAGTTAAATTGGTTGGGGATTTAAACAGACTAAATGTTGAATTAATCATAGTCTAAGCAAAAGGACTTTTTGAGAAAGCTTTACAGCTGATGCAGTTGCATGCAAAAATTTGGGTCAGAGTGTGTGTTTCAGTGAATCCCTAGGTGAAAAGCAGTTGACACAACTATTAAATGATATAAACATACTTCTGCAAATAGATCTCCCTATAGATATGCAAGTCTGGGGACTGTGAAAGCCATTATTTATGTTCCGCACCCCCCCCCCTTCATTTTATCTTACTTTTTTATGGATATTTAAAGATATGTTTCAGACTGATGTTTGGTTGAAATAACCAATCTCTTTTCTGCTTCAGTTTTTTCATTGACTGCTGACTTCTGACTTCTAGAATATGTTGATACTTAGTAGAATCCATTTTTTCCTCATATGTACAATATTTTACCACTAGCTGTGATGCAACCCCAAAGCATAATAGAATCACCCCAATTCTTATACTTGAGCAAGGTATTCTTTTTCTCCAAAAGAATGTTGTGTAGCCAAATAGTTCAGTGTTTGTTTCCTTAGTCCAAATCATTGTTTCTAAATGTTATTAAGATTTTCTTTTGCTGACTTTAGATGGCGAATTGTCTGATCAGGTTTGACCAATCACTCTCTTTCAGCCCAACCCAACTCACAGGGTTGTTGTGGGGAAAAAAAGGAGGAGGAAGGAGCATTAGGTATGTCTTCCCCTTGAGCTATTTATAAAAATAATAAAGGTAGGATACAAATAAATGAATAAATAAAATAAATCCATGGACGACTACTCCAAATATAGACTGTAGTTTATTTACAGTGATCCATTGGTTCTGTTTTGTAGATCTGACCAGTTTGGGGCAATTTTAGCAGAGATTTTTGCAGAAAATTGTAATGTTTAAATTTGTACCATGTGGAGTTGTGTCAGCTTTTGTTCACTTACAGATTTATTGGAAAAAATTGTCATTTTTGCTTGCAGCTGAATGTTTTTATCATACATGTTAAGTATTGTATGTGGTTAGACCCAATAGCTACCAGAAGGGTAGTTTACCTTGCAAGAAACTATTGTTAAATGGATGTTTGTTGAAATGTTGAAGACTGGGCTGGTTAGAATTCAATCCTAAAATACTGATGATCTGGTTATAAAACACACAGGTCTTCTCTAATCAGGTTCTGCTTGTTCTCTGTAGTATATCAGTGCTGAATGTCATAGTGAGTGATGGAAAATATGTGGTAGGGCAGGGGTGTCAAACTGAAGGCTGGATTCGGGGCCAGATTCGGCCCACGGGGTACTTAGATCTGGCCAATGGGCCACCCTGGAAAACAGCCTATTGTGTTTCTGCCAGCAAAAACGGCCTCCCGAGCTCCGTTTTTGGCTGCCACGGCCTCCTGCAACCCTCTGCCAGTGAAAACGGAGCTCGGGAGGGCTGCATGCCCCATTTTTACTGGCAGAGGATTGCAGGAGGCCGTGGCAGCTGAAAACAGAGCTCGGGAGCCTATATTCACTGGCAGAGTGCTCGGGCCACCACAGGTGCCCCTGACAGGAGTGACATCGAGCTGGTCATGCTCCCCCTACCCCCCCCCCCAGGTCAAACACAACCCTGATGCAGCCCTCAATGAAATCGATTTGACACCCCTGTGGTAGGGGGTGCACCAGGTAAGTGGAGATTGAAGCTTATTACCAGAAATAGTGTTGCAATCTATCAAAGACATTTCAAATTGAAAGTAAATCGATTTTCTGTTTGAAGTATGGATTATTTGAGATGGTAGCAAGGAGCTTTGAAGATAAGAGCAAGTTATTGCTGTCCATGAAGGAAATCCACACTTCTTGGAGAACGTTTATCATTGATGGTATTGTATAGTGGATGGATGAGCTTTTAAATGTTTTCTAATAAAATAATTAACATAAATAACCTGAACAGTATATTAAAAAGGGAATTGGCTCATCCTGATATTGTGGCTTAACAATATGCAAAGGATATAAGGAGATCCAAATCCAGCAATACTATTTTAATCTCTATGTTGTGGGGGCTGTTCAATAGGTAGTTCTCCATCTAGTGATAATTCAAATTAACTGGTTACTGAAAAGAGTCCCCTCACTGATGGTAAGTGCTTTATCTTTAGTTTTCTCTAAAGTATATGGGAATTCCATGCCATTTGAAAATAGTGCCATTATGCTTAAAAGAAGAAATTAAGAAAATATTTGTTTTGAAATGTAGAACTTTTACAATGAAACTTTTCTTAGTTTTTTTTCAATTCTAGATCAGGATTTCTGTGTCTACAGATAGTCTTTGACATACGACCACAATTGAGCACAAAATTTATGTTGATAAGTGAGAAATTCATTAAGTGAGTTTTGCCCCAGTTTACGACTTTCCTTGCCACATTTGTTAAGTGAATCACTCCAGTTGTTAAATTAGTAACACTGTTGTTAAATGAATCTGGCTTCCCATTGTCTTTGCTTGTCAGAAGGTCACAAAAGGTGATTCACGTGACCTTGGGACACTGCAACGGTTATAAATATGAACCAGTTCTCAAGCATTTGAATGTAAATCATGTGACCATGGGGATGCTGCAATGGTCATAAGTGTGAAAAACAGTCATGTCACTTTTTCCAGTGCTGTTGTAACTTCGAACAGTCACTAAACGAACTGTTGTAAATTGAGGATTATGTGTATATGTTTCTTTTCCACCTCATTTGTTCTAATAAGTAAAAAAAAAGTTATTGCAAATGCCAGGTAGCAATGCTGCTTGGGTATCCTTTCAAATGACTTTGTGCTCTTTCCTTTCTGATAAACAGGCGTTTGCTGTTCCGTAGTTCAAGCATTTTACCCCATGATGAAGGCAAAGGACCTGCAGCCTTTGCTCACAAAAAAGTTTCAGAACCTGGACCTTTAGGCCATGCAGGTCAATCAAACTGTACTTCTTACTTTATTGAGCCAGTGCAATGGATGGAGGCAGCACTATTAGGAGTGTTGGAAGGACAGGTGAGGAAAAGAATCTGATATAGGCTGTGACCTATTTTAATGTTGATATATATGTTAAATGATTTGAATAGCACTTGTATCTTGCATATTAGATGAAGTATGCTTAACTCTCTACAACCTGTCATCCAGGTAAGTCTGCCAAAGGTTGACTTATGTTAGGAAAAGGAGTTACCTATCCTTCCCTGATACCGTTCATTCTCTCTGTTTAGCTTTCTGACCAGTTTGGCAGCAGATGGACCATGTTGAAGTGAATCCTCCCTAAATTAATCCATGATCCACAGTAGAATTGAAGCTGCTCACACATGCATTGCTCTGGCCCCAAAGTTCATTCAATATGTATATGCTAGAGCATGTACAGTAACTGATAAATGATGACTAAATCTATTTGAAGAGAATTATCTACTCACAAACTGTTTTGAGACATTGTGGTATTGTGAAAGGTTGTAAAAACATCAGATTTTTTGCTACATTGTCTGTATAGAAAATGCAGCATTGCAGCAGATTTCCTCAAGGTAAAATTATTTCCAATTCATTTTATGGCAGTAATTTACAGCGTGAAATTAATGGATGGAAAGATTTTGCTTTCTATTCTTGCTGTCCTTTGTTTAACTCTAAAATGTGAATCCTTCAGAGATATAATTGATATATGGGGCCAGAAATTAGTAGCTATATTATCAGCAATGTCACCAGTGATGTCTGCTTCCATGGATGCTAATGAATGAATGGAAGATACAAAACAAATTTTACCTGATGCAAAAATTGTATAACAAAAAATACTGGGTAACAAAAAAGCATAGATTATAAAATAGGGAAGGCAGTTAAAGTGGAAACATGAGACAATAGAAGGATTCTGACAATGTTTTTCTACTGGATGCACAAAAGAAGTAGGTTAAAACTTTGAAAATCAAAGTGGAATTACAAATAATAAACCAAGAGAATGACCCAGATAATGATTTTACTGTATTTACAAAAGAGGTTTGCTAAAGTCTTGAAGAAACCTTTGGAATGGAAAAAAGAAAAATTGAAGAGAGAAAAAATCCTACAACAATTTCTGAATGAATGAAAGTTCAAGATTGTTGAAATAAAAGGAATGAAAATAAAGGTGGTTTCATGAAAGTTAGAATAAAACATATTTCTATAAAACTCTGGTAACCCTTTATAGACTTTTTGTTGACATCAGGATTTAAAAATTGGTGATTTATAGATTTGTATGCAGATAAGCAATGGGAAGAGATATTTGTTTGTAACCATATAGGAGGGTGAAATATATATCAAATTTGTTTATACTTTTTGTGATGACTTATATTTTTTCTTTTTTCTTAGCAGTATTCTCCCTATTTTTCTTTCTTTGAGTTTAGTTTGCATTTGGTTTTACTATTGTAATAGTAAAATAGTATTGTAATAAAAGCTTTCAATAAGAGTTATTTTAAAAAGAGATAATTGATACAAAATTCAGTCAGTGCTATCATGTAGCTGGGGCAGGGTGGAGAGACCTTTTTCATAATAAAATTTCATAATTCCCTTACTTTAGGTCAACAGGAAAGGAAATGACTCTTGGTTTTGAAAAATTAACATCTTGATTGTTTTAGAGCAACCTCTTTACCTAGGCTATTAATATTAAATGAAACAATATCAGAACAAATGGAATTACAGCAATAGAATCATAGAGTTGTATCTATTTTAAAACCACAAAAAAAAAATATTACTGAACAAAGTTCCACTGACAACTATATTATAGGTGACAGAGTATTGTAAGCATGTGGAATCTACTGGTATACATATGGATGGGTTATTCTATATTCCTTCATGGAAAATTAACTAGTAAACTAAATTCAGTAAAAAGAAAATATAGATCAAGACATTTTATTGAAATGTAGCCCCCCTTTATTATATCAGGATGTTGGGTTGTGTGTGTGTGTATATACAATACACATACACATATACAATATATATTCTCATTCTCCCTCTCCCTCCCTCTCTCCTTCCCTCTCTCTGTCTCTGTATTAATTTTGGATTATCCTATGGCACCTTTTCCTTCAGTATTTAAACATCAAATCAAATCAAATTGGCCTAATTTCTTCCCTTTTTAAATATGTAAATTTTAATCTGTTTTTAAATTATTGGGGTGTTTTAATCTGTCTGGGCCAAAATGATTTAATTTGATTTTATCTGGTTTTTAAATTTTTTGTATTTATGTATTTTATTGTTGGCTGTTCACCGCCCTGAGTCCTTCGGGAGTAGGGCGGTATACAAATCAAATAAACCTAAACCTAAACCTAAACCAAATCAAAAACATATTCATTCTTCTCAAGGAAACAAACCATGTGGCTTTTGGAAGAAATGAAAAGTTGAAAAGTCATATGTCACACATGGGCCTAGAAAGAAGGACAGTATTGGTAGAAGATATGAAGCCTGTATAGATTGGGCAGCGAATTAGAAACTGAGAGAGAAAAATTGAACAAAAGGGAATTCTGAGACAATGATCCTCAGAGCAGATTTCAAGAGAATGCCAGATGGAGGACACACTTTCTGAAGTTTTTAAAAGAGGCCAGGAAGAGGTGGGCGGTATCAGGGAACAAGATGAATGCTTTCAAGGGGGTTGGGATAGGATGTTTTAAAATCAGGAACCAAAGCAAATTGTGAGAAGAAGCATACTGGATTGTTTTGGTTTTTTAAAAAAATGATCTTCTAAGGGTCACACATTATTGTGTGCGCTTACAAGAAGAGACACCTAGGAGTACAGGATTTGTGAAATTGGGCAGTAAAAAAAAGGAGGCCAAGTTTCAACTGATTTGATCTAACTCACAAAAAGTTTCAAAGTTAAGAGTTCCACATGTTCCGTGCTTGTTTTTTAAAGGCAAAAGGCCAGACAGAATATCAACTGTCCCTTCTCTCTTATTCTCTTGCAGCTCCTGTGCCCAAAATGTACATCAAAATTGGGTTCTTTTCATTGGCATGGTGAGCAGTGTTCCTGTGGTCATTGGGTGACTCCAGCCTTCCAGATTCACAAGAATCGTGTTGATGAAGTAAAAAGATTGCCCATTGGGGAGCCAAAGAATGTGAGAAAGTGAACTTGGTTGTATTAGGACAGCTGCATATACCTGGCATAAAGAGACACAATTTAATCAATGCTTTAAATATCAGTGGCCTTGTACAGTATTTTTCTTTTGACTTTACAATAATAGTAGGCCAAATATACTTGCATATCACAACGGAACATTTCTTGAAATAGTTTTAATTACTTAAACTGAACACTAAAATTTGTGGTCACACCAGGGTACATTTGCACAACATGACTGCTACCAACCAAGATTACTGTAGCTGCAAATATGTCTAGAGGCGCTTCCTTCTGAACAACTCTGCATTGTGTATGTGAACTGCATTTTCCCAATAAAAATAATTCCTGAAAGTTTAGTGTGTGAGTTTATGATCAGAGAGGGAACAGGCAGGATGTTAAATTATAGAGATGCTCAATTATCAAAAATATAATTGAGGTTTGTTAGAATATCTCATATGAGATGTGCTTCTGTGAAGATAATTCTTCTGAAAGTTGAGGAGTTTAGAAGGGGTGGGCTGCTCACCTCAGCTTCTGGGAGTTTTGCCACATGTATAACCAGCTGCTCAAATACAAATCTTGGCAAGTAGTCTATTGTATGAATGTTTAATCCATTTCCAGCAAGATCTGTTCAGCATGGTTCTCTTGAGGAATTTTGGAATTACTACAGTTAAAAAATTCAAACCATATTTGCATATTCTTTTTAATTTTGTATAATTTGATTTTTTTTTAAAAAAAAATGCTAACATTCTTTTGAAGTAGAATTTGGCAGTCAGAGCTATATTGAACTGCATACAATGGAGTTAAAATGGTCAGGGCAGTTTATGGTAGAAAGGTAGCTGAGATTAAAGCTAAAAATCAGAAATCTGAACACAATTTAAACCCCAAGGACAAAAATAAAAATAAAAACTTTAACAAAAGTCCAAAAGTTTCCTTTTCAATTAAAAACACCTAAGGGGAAAAAAAATCCAACAATGTCTGAGGCAGTTTTTGGGGGAAATGTGAAGACTACATTTCAAAAGAAGAGTGCTATATGACACTGAAAGGGCCTGGTCATTGCTACTCTCCTACCTCTTCTTCATAGGCTTAGGTGGAGTATGCTTGTAGTCAAGCAAGGGCTTTCCAACCTACGGATACTCATAGAAGGACTATTTATCTACAGGCAGGCTGATTAATCATTGTCACTTATTTACTGTTACTTATAAAAGTCAGAAGTGTTGGGCATACACTAAAACACCTTCCTGGCTCCTGTAAGTTTAGAAAAGGCTAAGGAATATATGTTAAATTCATAGTTTATAATGGTAGCACTATCTTGTCCAATAAATATGTTTGAAACTTGCTGGACGCTCCATATTCCCAATCAAACATCATGCAACAATATATTACCATGTTAAGATTTACATTTCTGTGTTGCAGTCCTTTTCGGGCTTTTAGTAATTAGTTTATTCTTTATGGCATTAAAATGTAACTATACTGTTTTAATCTTATGCTTATTTAAATGCATAACCATATAACTGGTGTATGGGTTTGTAGATCTTAGTTTTATGAATTCATTTTTATGATTTCTGATTGCCTTTGTATTCCCTTGTATTGTTTTCACAGTTAAGATTTTTTAAATCAACTTATACTATCATAACTTCAAAGTTGCTGACAATTATTACAGTTCTACATTTTAAATTCTAATTAGAGTCATTCATAAAGTTTAAATAGCTTTGTGGACTTTAATTTGGAAGGTTTTTTTTATTGTTTGATATAGAGAGACACCTGGATGTAATTCATACTATTATACCTGTTGCCACTAAAAATGTTTTTGGCAATAAGTATTTTATTTAGTTTATTCTAGTAAAGCTCTATCAAATTATAATAGCCTAGTAATTCATCATGTTAACTGGGCACATATTTAAATTTAGTGCTGTTAATTTCCACAGCACTAAACACAATAAAAATAGATTTTTCCATAGTTTCTATTCTGTGTGGAATTTTCACCTTGTAAATCTGTAGTCTAGATTGCCAACTGATTGCTCTGTATTTTCTCCCAGTTTTTTTTTTTTTTTTTGATGCTCATTTATTCTTCTGATGAAGTATCATTACAATTCAAAAGGTGAAGACTATTTTAAAAATATTGCTCTGACTCCACATTAACATATGCATACATTGGAGGCAATGCTTTTTCACTTTTTTTTTTTTTGAATTTGATTTTTATTATAACATATAGTGGTACAATCGGTACATTTTCGGTTCATTGGTGCAATTATATACATATATACATCTACATGCATTATTGCTTGTCTTTTGTTGGTATTGTTTCTTAAAGCTAGATTTAATTTCAATACACTTAAAAATAATGGTGCTCAACTCTCTAAGACTAAATATAATACTATTCATATAGATTTTGTTCATTAGTTAATATTTAATCTCTATTACCTTCTTTATTTCTTTCCCCCATCCATTCGTACCACATGTCCCACACGCTATAAAATTCTGAATCTTCTCTGTCATTAATTTCTGAAGTCAATTTGTTCATTTCGGCGCACTCCAATATTTTTCCAATAACATGTTCTTGAGGTGGTATTTGTTTTTCTTTCCAGTACTGGGCAAAGGAAATTCTAGCGGCTGTCAGAATATGTATAATTAAATACTTTTTCTTTTTTGCATATTCAGTTTTCAAAATTCCCAGGAGAAAAGCTTTTGGGTCGAAATCAAAATTTTCTTTTATTATTTCTCTAATCCACATCCATATCATCCTCCAGAATTTTTGTGCCTGATTACATGTCCACCAGCAATGATAAAAAGTACCCTGCTGATGGTCACATTTCCAACATTTAGGGCTCGAATTGGGGTAGATCTTCGCTATCCTAGCTGGGGCCATGTGCCATCTATAAAACAGCTTGTATTGGTTTTCCTTGTAAGCCGTCGCCTTTGTCATTTTAAGATTATTATTCCATATTGAGTCCCATTCGTTCAAATTTATATTCTGTCCTATATTTTTGGCCCATGCTAACATCGGTTCTTTAACTACTTCCTCTGCCATATCGTACTCCAATAAGTAATTATATAATTTAGCTAGAATTTTGTCGTCCGTACCCATCCATATCTTGTCGAATCCATTTATGCTCATCTCAATGCCAAATTCCTCCTTATCTTTTTTATATCTGGATTTAATTTGGTTATATGGCCACCAGTCTATAGAAATACCTTGTTCCATCAATTCTTCCCTTGTTTTAAGGTTCCCTCCCCCATCTAATAATTCATTGTATCTGACCGTTTTACCCATTTCTAATACATTTGGATATATTATAGTCTCCATGGTGGAAAGCCATCTCGGAATTTTCCTATAGTGCTTCTGTCTCATCTCTCCCCATATTTGTATCAAGATCTCCCTTATTTTATGTCTATGGAAGTAAGTTTTTATCTTCTTCCCAGTATCCCAGAGATATGCATGCCAACCCTTCTGGAGATCATACCCTTCTAAGATTAACAGTCTTTTATTTCTCAGGGTTGCCCATTCTTTCAGCCATACTAGGTTTGCAGCTTTTTGATATAACTCCCATTTAGGTAATCCGAAACCCCCTCTTTCCTTCTTGTCCTGTAAATTCCTAATTGCTATCCTTGGTTTCTTTCCCTCCCAAATAAATTTCCTGATGATGCTATTGAGCTCCAGAAAGAATTTTTTATCTAATTTAACAGGGACCGTTCGGAATAGATACAATAACTTGGGTAATATGCTCATTTTTATTGCCGCGATTCTGCCTAATAATGATATCTGTAATCTTCCCCACTTTTCCAGATCCTGTTTAATATTTCTAATCAATGGTAAATAATTATCCTCTTTGAGGGCCGAGCACCTTGATGAAATCCAGACCCCCAGGTATTTTACCTTCTTGGCAGTTTGGATCTCCATTGATTCTTCCAGTACTTTTTTCCTCACCTCCGTCATATTTTTTGTTAATAATTTAGTTTTGGATTTATTTAATTTAAGGCCTGCTACCTCCCCGTAATTGCCCAATTCTTCCAAAATTTTAGTGCCTGATTCTAATGGTTCTTCCATGATTAATACCACATCATCTGCAAATGCCTGTGTCTTATATATCTCTTTTCTGATTGTCAGACCCTTTATTTCATTATTGTTCCTAATCTTTTTCACTTTTTTCATTTCATACCTGACCACAGATTTTCAGTTAACCCTTCTTCTATTAAAGTCTCCTGCCATTGCTGCACCAAAATTTATTTTAAAAAAACAAACCCCAAAAGAACACTTTTCTCCTCCTTCCTTTGAAGATGATGGCCTTAAGTGATTTTATAGAGTCTGTTTACTGGGTATGTGGGAAATATTTCAACCTCTGAACAGTCGGATTCAAGAGTCAAGCAAAGGCTCTGAATTGAGATTGGAACAACGAAAATCTGTTCTGACTAGCATAAAAACAGCCATTTTGAATGGTATTCTAGCTGTTCAAAGCATACGACTAGGCTGTTGTTTAGTGCCTGATTTCTGTTTACAAACTTTTCAAACAAACTAGTACAGAAGCAGGTCCAATCAAGGCCCATTTAATTTGTGAGGAGCAAAGTTACAGCAATGTATTAAGAAGGAAGTAGCAGTTAAACACACCACTGTACAGCCGTACACTGTACAGCTTGCAAATTGCAACTACAGAATTCCCTAGTAAGTGGCCTATGGGAAGAGTGGGTTGTTGTTTATGGGTTGTGCTGTGCTTTAGTATGCAGAGAGACATTATGTGAATGTAGCACTGTGCTTCCCACACAACCTATAGCAAATGCTATAGAGATTTAGGTAAATGCAAAGACAATATTGGCTTGTTAAGGTCTGGCATGCATATGCACTTGGTGTATGTTGTGTCTTGAGCCAGTGATGGGTTCAGAGTGTTTTTAGAAATACCAAGACTTGAAAATCCATGTTGTTACATATTTGATAGGGAGCTTATCTTTTTGGGTTCTTGAGCTGATTCAAACCTTTGCTGATTCAAGGTGTCTGTGATTACTTTTTCTCCTGTTGTGAGCTTTCCAGATGTGTATGGCTGCTCTTTAAAGTCAGTTTTCTTTATCCCCTTCCTTCATATTCTGTATATATATATATATAGGTCTTTGGTTATTCGGGTTTTCTCCCACATAATAACCCGAATAACCAAAGACCTACATACAAACACCCGCGAAAACCTCAGAAAACACACACACACACACACACACACACCATGGTGAAGAATATCATTTGTATTGGGTTGTCATGCTTCCTTTGTTCTTCTCAAGAATTCAATGCACTTGCTGCTGTTAAATGGCTAAGAGTCTGTTCATTTTTAAGTAGATACTAGTACAAAAATAGTATCTGAGAGTTCACTCTT